ATATTAAAAATGGCGATAACTCAAAAAGGAGAAATACTAAAATCTTGAAAATTGAACTAGACCTTCATTAAGTCCCAGGAAACAACATATTTAAATTTGAAAAAAAATTGTTATTGTAGAGACACTGTTTGGCAGTCCGCCCGCCCAGCCGCCGGCCGTACATCCCCAATTTAATAACCGATATTTCCTTCGAAAATCCGGTTAAAAAACCGAAATATAGTGTTTTGACATTTTATGTGTTTATTTTATCTTCTATTATAAATTACCGGATTATAAATACTACGCAGTTTTTAACCTACAGCAGAGACTCTGACATTGTAAACAATAAGGCAATTAAATCTCATCTGGTTTCTATCTTTCGTACTTTTGTATGTATGTATCTATGAGATAGTTCAGTTTAATAAAATGTAGTTACTAGTATAGAAGCAGTCACGTTTATTTAGTAGTCGTGCTATATATACAAGAACCCAAAATGCAGTTATAAATACACAACAGTTTGGCGACGAGGATGGCCATTTATTGTCTTTAATTCAAAGGACATTTCCGAAAATAATTTTCTGTGAAATTACCTTGGTTAATTAGACAATGGCAGGATATATAGGAAAAATATAGCCGTTTGATGATAGCACGGAAACGTGGAGATCGTACGTTGAAAGACTGTTACAATATTTTTTGAGTGAACGCACTTGAAAATGAAAAGAAGGTTCCAGCTTTATTGACATTGTTAGGAGGAAAAACCTATGGACTTCTTAGAAATTTGACTTTACCGGATAAACACACAACTAAATCGTATGATGATATTGTAAAGTTATTGAAGGACCATTTGAGCCCGAAACCATTGATTGTCGCAGAGAGATTTCGCTTTTATAAACGTTATCAAATACAAGGAGAAACTGTGAACAGATATGTAGCAGAACTTATAAAGTTTGCCGAATATTGTGAATTTGGGAACTTAAATGAATCTTTAAGAGACCAGTTTTTGGTTGGACTTAAGGATGAACAGACACAAAATATACTGTTAACAGTGCCGGACTAAACGTTTGTGAAAGCTATCGGAATTGCTATAGCCGTAGAGACTGCAAACAAAGATGTTATTGAGTTAAGAGGGAAATTCAACACGGAGAGTTCTGTAAACAGGATACAACGACAGCAACGTAGACCGCTACCAATTACAACGGATAGGCAGAAATCGTTCGTATGCTACCGATGTAGTGGAAAGAATCACAAAGCAGACAACTGTAGATTTAAAGACGCGGTGTGTCACAGCTGTAATAAGAAAGGACACATTCGTAAAGCGTGTGGATCATCCGGTTAACCGAAACAAAGACCGGCGCAAAAGAATGTTAATTCTTTGGATAATCAATCACGGGAATACACAAGTGATGAGGAGGATTACCTAGGAATTTACAGTGTTAAAAATTCCAATCAGGAATCAATTTGGATTACGCCAAATGTGAATGAAAAAGAAGTTAAAATGGAACTGGATACAGGTTCAGCCGTGTCAGTAATTTCTGCTCTGGATTACGAAAAGCTTTTTCAAAATGAAAAGCTTGAAAGCGCAAATGTCACCCTGAAGACGTATTCAGGAGAGTTGTTAATTCCAACTGGATAAATGAATGTGCAAGTTAAATATAATGGTCAATGTGAAAATCTAAAATTGTATGAAGTGCAAAAAGGTGGCCCTGCATTGTTTGGGCGTGATTGGTTAAGATAAATCAATTTAGATTTGAAAAATCTCCAGTGGATTAATAAAATTTCAGTGTCAAGAAATTCAAATGAAAAGCTGGATTTATTACTGAAGGAGTATCCAAATGTTTTCCGTGAGGGAAAAGGGTGTGTTGCAGATATTAAAGCACATCTCACGTTAAAAAAAATTCTTCACCGAAATTCGTTAAAGCTAGACCGGTGCCATTTTCAGTCGAACCGCAAGTGGAGCAAGAGCTCATAAGGCTTGAAAAAGAAGGAATAATTTCAAAGGTCGACACAAGTGAATGGGCATCACCAATTGTCCCCGTTATGAAATCAAATGGTACAATTCGTATATGTGGAGATTTCAAAACCACCGTGAATCCTATGCTAAATGTGGATCAGTACCCGCTTCCGCGGACCGACGAGATATTCACTACTCTCGCAGGAGGACAGAAATACACGAAACTTGACATCCGAGATGCATATTTACATATGGAGGTAGACGATGAGTCAAAACCATTGATGACAATCAATACGCACAAAGGACTGTATCGTTATAATAGGATGTTATTCGGAATTGCGTCAGCCCCAGCTATGTGGCAAAGAACAATGAATCAGGTATTAAATGGGCTTGATAGTATACAATGCATGTTGGACGATATGATAATAACGGTCCCTGATGACGAAACACACCTGCAAAACTTGAAAAATGTGTTACAGAGACTTCAGAACTATGGTTTAGAGCAAACTTGCAGAAATGTTCTTTTCTCAAGGACAAAGTCATATACTGCGGACATGAAATTAGTGCAGATGGACTGAGGAAAACTTCAGACAAAGTGCAGGCTGTAATGGAAACTCCGACTCCGAAAAATGTCAAGGATGTACGTGCATTCTTAGGACTGATAAAGTATTATCACAGATTTATGCCTAATTCAGCAACTGTACTTAAACCATTGAATCAACTGCTAGAAAAAGAGCGAATATGGCGCTGGACAGACGATTGTGAAAAGGCCTTCAAAAAGACAAAGGAGCTTATTACGTCAGACCAAGTGTTAACACACTACAACCCCAATTACCAGTCCGTTTAGCGTGTGATGCTTCGCCATTCGGACTTGGGACAGTGTAATCTCACGTTATGCCGGATGGATCGGATACACCAATTTCTTTCGCATCGAGGAGTCTTACAAAATCCGAAAAGAACTATTCACAAATCCAAAAGGAGGCGATTGGAATAGTGTGGGGAGTGAAGAAATTTAACACATTTCTGTACGGTAGGAAATTTTCTGATCATCAACCTTTAACCGCAATTTTCAATCCTGAAAAATCGATTCCTCTAGCTACCGCCGCTAGGTTACAGCGTTATGCTATTTTTCTCTCTGGATTTACATACAACATCGAATACAAAAATACAAAGAAACACAATAATGCAGACGCATTATCGCGACTACCGATGCAAAGTGACATGAAAATGAACAATGAAGACGCAGATGATCTTTTTCACGAGTCACAAATTGAGGACCTCCCAATTACAAGCGCCGAAATTCAACGTGAAACTCGAAAAGAAAAGGTATTAGCAAGCAATGAACGGATGGGAAATAACGGACGATTCGTTAATGAAACCTTATTTCACCCGCAGAAATGAATTAACCGTTAGTCATGGTTGCCTTCTGTGGGGATTAAGAGTCATAATTCCGATTAAATTCAGGAATCGAATTCTACAATTACTTCATAGTAGTCACCCAGAAGTGGTGAAAATGAAGGCGTTGGCCAGAGGACATGTCTGGTGGCCCAATATAGACAGTGACATTGAACATTTAGTCAAAAGCTGCACTGGATGCCAGACAAATCAGCACGCACCAGCACTAACACCGTTACACCCATGGGAGTGGCCTGAGACCCCGTGGCAACGAGTCCATATAGACTACGTTGGACCGTTTGTCAACAGAATGTTTTTTTGTGATGGTGGACGCGCATAGCAAAAGGCCTGAGGTTTTCGAAATGAAATCGATTACAGCAACAAAAACAATTGACATAATGAGACAAGTATTTGCTAGAAACGGAGTACCTGCTCATATTGTATCAGATAATGGACCAAGTTTTGCATCGGCAGAATTCGCAGAATTCATGAGACGAAATGGAATAAAACACACGAAGTCAGCACCCTTTCAATCCAGCAACAAATGGACTTGTTGAGAGATTTTTTCAAACATTTAAACAGTCAATGAAAGCAATGAAATGGGAATCTGGTGATGTAAAGAAAAAGATCGCAAACTTCTTGTTGACGTATCGCCAGACACCACACAAAAACCCATGAAACAGCTTCAAAACTATTTATAGGAAGAGACTTAAGATCTAGACTTCATTTGTTAAAACCAAACTTACGAAACATCGTTAGAAAGAGCCAGGAAAAATCTTGCGAAATTAGAATGAATAAGAAGGACAGACAATTTGAAGTAGGCGAAAGAGTTATTGAAAAGGACTATAGAGGAAACGATCCGTGGGTAGCAGGAATTATTAGCGAGCGTGAAGGACCACTCATGTATAAAGTTTCAACCGACAACGGACACACATGGAGAAGACATACTGAACAATTAAAGTCTACTCAAATGCCAAAATCGTATGAACAATCAATCGAAAATGATAATATTATAGTTGACAATACGGAGACACGCACACAACAACATGTGGCCGAAAAATCACCGGAGCAAAACAAAAGCGATGAAATAACAATGCCGCGACGAAATCCAATAAGAGAACGAAATACACCGAAAAGATTAATCGCCGAAATGGAATAGTCAGTGTGCATGAATAGGACTTTTATTACACATTATGAGCATAATAACCCTCGTGTAATCATAATCAGACCAAGGTCTGATCTTGCATAATATTGCGAAAATATTGTAAACTGTATGACCTATCAGTCTATCTACTCTTATTTTTGTTTTCAATTTGATAGGTCAATTTTAACTCATAATTCTTATCACGAGCACACGTCTGGAATTAGCAGGGAGGAACTATAGTGTTTTTGACATTTTATGTGTTTATTTTATCTTCTATTATAAATTACCGGATTATAAATACTACGCAGTTTTTAACCTACAGCAGAGACTCTGACATTGTAAACAATAAGGCAATTAAATCTCATCTGGTTTCTATCTTTCGTACTTTTGTATGTACATGTATCTATGAGATAGTTCAGTTTAATAAAATGTAGTTATAGAAGCAGTCACGATTATTTAGTAGTTGTGTTATATATACAAGAACCCAAAATGCAGTTATAAATACACAACACGAAACATATCAATATTTACCTATCACTAGTGCACATCCTAAACACACATTTAAAAGTATCGCAGTGTGTGAATCTATACGTCATATCAGACATAATAATGACATCGCTGAATAAGACAAACATTTAACTAACTTGCAAGGTAAGTTAGTTGAAAGAGGATATTGTATAAATGAAACGGAAAAGGTTATAAATAACGTTAAAAGTGCAACGAATAGAAAAACAACTTTATTGAAGACCAATAGAACTAGAAAAGTTCCACTTACTCTTATTACTAAATATAATCCAATGGTAAAAAACCTCAGTAAAATTATAAGCAAACATTGGAACAATCAGCAAAAAGACAAACAATGCAGTGAAATCTTCACCCAGGTGCCTATATATAGATCATAGCGTACAAATGTAACAAAAATATAAAAGAGTACCTTGCAAAATCAAGGTAATAGTTGGGAGACTTTTGAAAAGGGACCCATGCTTAAACAGTATGAGCAAAAAATCCCGAAACACTGATAGTAATAATCTAAATTATAGGCAACAAACTTTCATATATGAGTTAGCAAAAAACGGTGTTAAGTCTTGAGATTTATTACGTATGTTGGTTGAAGGAACCAAATTTCAATTTTTATACGCCCGTTTACGGGACGTATTATGGTATACCGTTGTCCGTCTGTCCGTCGTCAACATGTCGGACATTAACTCAAAAATGCTTTAACCAATTTGCATAAAACTTTTGTGAATTGTTCATATCTATTGACGTGAGCTCCCTTTCGTTTTTTATAAAAAATTAGATTTTACGTTTCCGAGTTATGGGGTTTTATTCATTAAAAAAGGGGGATTTTACAGTTTTCGGACAATAAGTCAAGAATGCTTTCACCAACTTGCAAGAAATTGTGGTGAACTGTTTATATCTATTGACATGAGCTCCCTTTCGATTTTTATAAATTTTAGATTTTACGTTTCCGAGTTACAGGGTTTTATTCATAAAAAAAGGGGGGATTTTCCAGTTTACGGACAAAAACTCAAAAATGCTTTCAGCAATTCTTATGAAACTTTAGTGAATTGTTTGTATGTATTGATGTAAGCTCCCTTTAGAATTTTATAAATTTTACATTTTACATTTCTGAGTTATGGGGTTTTATTCATTAAAAAAAGGGGTGATTTTCCAGTTTTCGGACAATAACTCAAAAATGCTCATGAAACTTTGGTGAATTGTCTATATCTATTGATGTAAGCTCCCTTTTTATTTTCATAAATTTCTAATATAACATTGAGAATTAATTGAACTTTATTTGTTTATAGTCTGACAACAGATTTACTAAGTATTGCACAACAGCAAGAAATCTTTAATTGAATATAAATTCAATTCATATAACCAATTTCAAGTTCTTTGACTACATTTATTCAGAAACCTATAATATGTCAAATATTTTTAATTACAATCCAAATTCAGACCTGAATCAAGCTTGAATATTGTGTCCATTTTTGTCCCAACTGTTCAGGGTTGGACCTCTGCGGGCGTATCTAGCTGCGCTCAGCGAAGCAGTTTATTAAAATATCTAACGCCATATTCTGTTCAACTGCAACTCTTAAACTCACATGTGTTCAGGAATAATTTCTTATTATACTCATACCCATAAACTATATATATATGAAAGTTATAATCTGATTTCATGATAAGCTTAAATACTATATCCTTCTTGATGCCAGATTCTAAAATATCAACTTTATGACGTTGCCAATTGGTTATGACAATTGGACGTCGCCAGTGCCAAATTCTTTTGATGTCGTCTTTTCAGCCGATTTTTAACCGGATTTTCGAAGGAAATATCGGTTATTGATGTGGGGATTACGGCGGGCGGGTGGGCGGGCGGACGGGCGGCTACCAAACAGTCTCTCTTCATTAACATGAAAACGCTGTCATGATTTTTTTTCAAATTTAGATATGTTGTTTCTTGTGACTAAATGAAGGTCAAGTTCAATTTTCACGATTTTAGTATTTCTCCTTTTTGAGTTATCGCCATTTTTAATATCCAAAAGTGGTATTTTTAAATATTTTTCTCTTGTTATCATATTATGACTAAACATAATGTCATATCTCACAATAACAATTGGAGTGACAGATTTATTTGAAAATTTTCTATTTCCTGAGTGGTGATGATTATAAGCTATATTATTAGACATTTTGAAGTTAATTACATCATTAATTATTTTATATGTAATGTTAGAGTACTATGTTAAACCATAGTTCATAGTTCATAGTTATGATAATCATTAGAATGACAGATTTATTTGAAAATTTTCTGTTTGCTGATAAGATCTGTAGGACTGTATATATAAAGTTTGAAATTTACTAGTAGGACTGTATAAATGAAGTTTGAAATTTACTGTTCATTATTAGACATTTTGTAGATAATTAAGTCTCCCTAAACCATATATATTCTTACCCCACCCCCTTCAATTTGAGAATGTGCTTTTATCTTGTACGCGGTCGAGGTCCCCACCCCTTAACCATATATATTCTTGTATGAGACAATAAAACAAATCAAATGAAATATTTGAGGAGTCCCCTGGTTCACCCCACCCCTAAACCATATATATCCTTGTATGGGACAATAAAACAAATCAAATGAAATATAGGGGAAGTCCATGGGGGTAACCCCCACCCCCTTCTTTTTGATAACTTGTAAACGGTCAAGATCCCCACCCCTAAACCATATATATTCTTGTATGGGACAATAAAACAAATCAAATGACATATAGGGAAAGTCCATGGGGGTAACCCCCACCCCCCTTCTTTTTGAAAACTTGTAAACGGTCGAGATCCCCACCCCTAAACCATATATATTCTTGTATGGGACAACAAAACAAATCAAATGGAATTGAGGGGAAGTCCCCTGGGGTAACCCTCACTCCCTTCTTTTTGAAAACTTGTAAACGGTCAAGATTCCCACCCGGAAACCATAAATATTCTTGTATGGGACAATAAAACAAATCAAATGAAATAAAAGGTGAGTCCCCTGGGGTCACCCCATCCCCCTCCTGTTTAAGAACTTGTAAACGGTCGAGATCCCCACCAATAAACCATATATATTCTTGTATGGGACAAAAAAAAACCAAATCATATGAAATAAAGGGCGAGTCCCTTGGGGATCACTCCCCCTCCCCTTTGAGAACTTGTAAACGGTCGAGATCTTCACCCCTAAACAATATATATTCCGGTTCGTCATTTCAAGAAGATTTGAATGACATACAGGGTCAATCCATAGGCGTCACTTATGCATATCACAAACCAATTTGTACTGGACTTTGCCCAATGTCAGGCGACCATGAGAAGGACGAATTATTGGAGCTTTGTTTGGGAGAGTTCGTACAGCATCCTGTTACAATTATTTCTTGTTACTGATAAGTTTTAGAGATTTTGAAAAGACATTGTTTTAATGATAAATAAAATTTGGGATTTTTTTCTTCTTTTCTTTGGTAAATTGTTTGAAGAATTTTGTGGCAAGTTTGTTTGTTATTCTGTAAAAACTAATTGACTGAATGATATATATTTTTTTTGATGAAGTGAACTATAAAAACCAAGCTTATATTGTCTATTAATAAACATATATTTAGATTTCTGATTTTGGGCCCAGTTTTCAAGTTGGTCCAAATCGGGGTCCAAAATTAAACTGTGTTTGATTTCAACATAAATTGAATATATATAGGGTTCCTTGAAATGCTTAATCTAAACCTGTATTTCTTTTCATTATTGATAAGATAATACCACATTGAGGTCCAAAGGTCCTTAATTAAACTTTTGTTTAATTTCATCAAAAATTGAATTATTTGGTTCTTTGATATGCTGATTCTAAGAATGTTTGAGTGTTAAATCATATCTTATTTTAGAGAACTTAGTCATCACTGGTTGTTGGTATTATATTATTTATTATTATTTAAAAAATTGCATCATATCTTATTTTAGAGAACTATTTATCCAGTTTGAGTTAATTCCCTTTGCACAGAAAATATTATGGATAAAATTAACCTGTGTTTCATTTCAACATAGATTTAATATATATAGGGTTCTTTCAAATGCTGAATCTAAACCTGTATTTAAATATTAGATTTTTTGGCCCAGTTTTCAAGTTTGTCCAAATCAGGGTCCAAAATTAAACTTTGTTTGATTCAACAAAAATTGAATTTATTGGGTTCTTTGAAATGCTGAATCTAACCATGTATTGAGGGATTTTGGATTATGGGCTCCTTTATCAAATTGGTCAACATTGAGGTCCAAAGGGTCCTAAATTAAACTTTTGTCTGATTTCATCAAAAATTGAATTCTTGGGGTTCTTTGATATGCTGATTCTAATATCTACTTAGATTTTGGATATTGGACCATAATAGGTAAATGTCCAATTTCAAATATTTCTGTTCTTTGACCACATTCATTTTGTGTCACAAACCTATGCTGTGTCAAATATTAAATCACAATCTAAATTCAGAGCTGTTTTAACCTTAAATGTAGTGTCCATACTTGCTCAACTGTTCAGAGTTCGACCTCTGCAGGAAAATCCGGTTTGCTGTCACTCTGACAGCCTCTTGTTTATTATTAATTTAGCAAGTTGTTTTTCTACGCGAACGGCATTCACTTTAAAAAGGAAGTGACCAGGAGAACATTTTGATGATGATATATTGAATGATTAAAATGTTTCTATACAAATTTCCATCTTGTTGGACCAAGGAGATGAATGTAAATTTGACTGATACATTTTTGAAAATACTGTTGAATTTGTGCAATTTACGTGTTTATAACTGTTGATAATTAATTTACCCATTTAATTTTTCGTCTGGTAATTCTTCCCTCTTTTATTATGTCAAAGTCAAAAGGCAAGACCAATTACAAAAAGTTCTTTTTTTTAATTGCAAGAGAATATTGTAAAGTATTATGCAATATGTATTTGCCACCTACAATTTTCGGCTAAATATTTCATATCATAACAGTTTTTCAAAAAGATATGTTAGGGCATTTATGGGTGGATTTTACCCAACCATGTGTTGAAAGACAGAATTGTCGGAAGTATATTTGTTTATTTGGTCATAACTTTATCTTCGATTGTT